GAAGGAGCTGGCTTTGCAAGGCAGCCCCAAAAAGAGGAGCAGAGGGGGACACGGCCAGGCCAGGCATGCCCAGCGGTGCCCAGCTCAGTGCCAACCGGCAGTGCTTGGTGCTATTTGGCACCGGCATGGCTGCTGGGCATCACAACACCTCCGGGAAGGGATTTGGGCAGCGCCAGGGTCCAGGCGGCTCCCGTGTGCTCAGAGAGGGAAAAAAGGAATAAAAGCCCTGACGTCACCCATGAGGTCATTAGTTTATGGTAGAACTGGGACCTTTACCCATCCAGCGAGGAGGAGGAAGAGGAGGCCATTTGCTGGCAGTTTCACCCTATGCCTCGCCATGGGGCAGGGCCAGAACCCACATCCCTGTGGCTGAGTCACCCGGGGTGGGGAGCAGGTCCCTGTGCCCGTCCCGCTGCCACCCGGCTGCTCCCGCCAGCGTGCTGGGTGCCAGATGGCGCAGGGGAGATGCTGGTCGCTGAGGGGCCACGGCAGTGCTCTGGTGCAGCCCCGTACCCAGTGCAGGAGCTGATAAGGGGGTGCCATGGCTGGCACGGAGCGAGGCGGCGCGTGGGGAGGCTGTTTGCACACTGGCCTCCTACCCTGCTGCTGATCGCCCCGTCCTTCACCGCGGCTGCCCCACAGCCCTCGCAGTCTGCCCCACAAACAGGGAGGTGGGGAGCCTCATGTCAAAAATGGGGTGAAGCAGCCCTCAACAACACCCACCCTCCAAACCACCCGCTTTGGCCTCGCTTTTGACATGGGGAAACTGAGGCACAGCGAGTGGATGCTCAAGGTGGGGTGATGCAAAAGGCAGGGAGGGAGCGATGGTGGGGAAAGGGGGTGACTGGAAACCCCCTGACCTGCCTTTGTCCCCCCACCATCCCCACGCGTAGAGGGACTGTGGGTGCATGACATGGGCAGTGTGGGACAATACTGGGAGATGCTCGGAGATGGGGCTGGCAGGAACCGCTCCCCCTCACCCCCCCAAGCACCCCATTTCAGGTTCTTCGGGATGCAGGCACCAGTACAAAACCCCCCAGAGCCAGC